GAGAGAGAGGGTTGGGCAATGCATTTACAAAATCGGCCATCACAATTGCTTGTAAAATATAAACATACATGTGGATGAAAACCGATCCGTACCATAATACCGTGACGGCGGCGCCGCAGCTCGCAGCACGCAGTCTACGGATCCCGCCCCAGCAACCCAAACTAAAAACACAAGCACGTTGTCGAGACGGATCGACAACAAAATCAAAACAACTGCCTCCTTCAAAAAATATACATATATATGCATTGTTCACACAAATAAGGGTTCAACCTCCTGATGAGTCGGTGAAACTCCGACGACACAGTTTGTCACAGCCCCTCGTTCGTTGTCCTCTTCTCCCTCTCTGCCTACGGTTTACCGGGAAGCTCTGTTTGACAATATATAGACGAACACGTCCTGGAAAAGAAACCATCTAGTCCCCACCAACGCAACATGCCACGAGCGATCAACTAAATTGTGCCGAATGACGGCCATCATTGCGGTACAAATGCAAAACAAGTAACGGAGGCAATGCCGCTAGATGCATCGATGGGACGATCGACCGTGGGAGAATATCGGCAGACGCAGGAGCAAAGGTGGCATCAGTACCTGTCCCTGATGGCTTTGGCTATCTCCAGCAATGCAGTGCACATCATCCTGTTCGCCTCGTCGCACGCCTGGTAGCCATCAACCTCACGCTCAAGTATGTCGCACTGCCGCTCTAGAATGGAACATTGTCGCTTACTTGCGCCCCCTCCATGGTGTTAGCCGTCATTGTGTCGTGTTTCTCCGTAACTTCGGCGATGCTGTCGAATGTGTGCTGGCGGATGTTCTTCCTCTTGCAGTTCCCTCCCGTGCTGCTTGCACTGAAGCCGGACTCCCACGCCGAGCCTCCGTCACCGTCGTTCCCATCACCCCCATCACCCCCAACGGCGGATTCTCCAGCAACGGAAGAGGAGCGTGGCATCTGCACTCCTCCGAGGGCGTTCGTGTCGGCAACGTTGTCTGGGTAGATGGTCTTGTTACCCTTCGCAATGTCGTTGATCTCATCATACACGCGCTCGCTCATTGTGAAGTTGAAGCCTTCTTCGGTTCTCAACGCAGGTGTCAAGTTGAAGAAGTTCTTCCCCCAAACGCGTTCTGATACCGTTGCACTTTCTTATACTACTGGAAGAGATTGTCACATTTCTTACCGATGTCGTCAGTTGTCCTGTTCACCCCCACCTCCACCAAACGCTTTCACAGGTCTTGCAACTTCCATTCTTTGTTACGCCTCCGACCGTAGCTGTGTGGCATGTCCACGAAATGAGCTTGCTGATCCCTCATCGCTCGAGCGAGCTTCAACATTTCCTCAACACTCCACGGGAGATGTTTTCCACCCCGCACCCTTCACTCGACGACCACCACGGGAAATGGCCTTCTCTTGATGCATGCCTCCACCCCTTCCTCTACCACATACAGGCACAAGTCGAATCTCCATGTCCTCCGCATCTTTCGCTTCCTCTTCGCAAAGAACATCTGGAGATTCGTAATCATCCGCCCGCTGCGAGAGATTGATATGTCTCCATACCATGTCCTCGGGCCCCCTTGCCAGCGATGCTTTATCTGCCAGACCCCAGGCTCTACCTAGGATCCCAATCTAGCATCTTTTCTAGTTGGCATCCAAGCAAAAAGGTTTTCCTTGAAGGTCTGTTATTCACTGGTTGCAGAAATAAGGGTTGTGTTAGAGCCTCCTCTTTTGGATGGGGTATTCTTATTTTAGGTGGGAAAGCTTCCCTCCAAGTTCTAATGAGAAGGTTCCAGTGTGAATCATTATTGTCTTGGGGATACTCTTGTTCGTCGGTTATTACTACGTCCGGTACCCTGTATTGCCCAGGACTTGGCCACAATCCAAAACTGACCCTGCATATTACCCAGTGTTATACATTTTGCCAACTGTCTACCGTCTTCACCCGAATAGAACGCCCGGTCATTATAGCTGTAGTCAGTGCACTTTTCAGTCCAGATACAGCTATAATAACCGGGCGTTCTATTCGGGTGAAGACGGTAGTTCTAGCCAGACCTCATGCAGTCCATGTCAGGTTATGTCAGAAGCTTGAAGATCCATTTTTCTGAAGGGGCTTATTTTGGTGTCCAGGGTCAGGTATACCTAATCCCCTTTTTTTCTCAAGATTACATACTTCCAGGCCATTTTTATAATGAAATGTTGCTGGGGAAAAAAAAAAAAAAACAAAAAAAAAACGCCCCATCTATTCTGGGGGGCAGCAGTCCGGTTGTTTATCACCAGCAAACATAGAGCAATGTTCACTATAGAGGAAGAAGGGCACTCACGGATGGAAAAGAGGTCCAGCCTACTACCCCTACCGCACTAGACACTTTGCAGGGGGGCGACTGTAGGGGGGGCAGTTCTGTGGGACATATCTGTCCTCCCCAACCAGGGCTGGCATAGTGGCCCGGAAACATCCATGCAGTACCCAGACGCACACTTTGAGTGTCCTGGGGGGGGGGGGGCAGTGTCGGTTCACCGAACTGCACCTCCAGTCTCTAGGTCCCAAATCTTGGCTCCCATGACCCACCTCTACTCCGGACGAACCACCTTACGCCATGACTCCTCTATTCTCGTCCTATACCTCAAAACCCATTCATTTATCCACACATACCTAGCCCTTCTGTAGCCCGAATGTCTCCCCTCCCCAATATCGAGGTCCTAATCCTCCCATCCGTTTCCTAATAGTATTCATGCAGTTGCCAGACTCATCACCCTGTCTGCGATGCCACATCAAATCTCCCAGCATTCCCCTTATATGTCAATCCCTTACACCCTTTCTGCAATACCACACTGAATCTCCCAGCATTCACTTCATATATCAATCTCGTACACAATCCTATACTAGCCTAGCCTAATGGGGCCGCCCTCCTTACCCCCCCCCCCTCAATACTACATCGAAATACATGGGCCTCGACTACCCTCATTTTAAACTTTCACTAACTATTCTACAAAGTGACCTGGAGCCTAGTCTTCCTCATCTACTGCATACTTTTGTAATGTAGAAGCAAAAAACAATCTGCCTGTCGCAGGATCCTTCTTGACCAGCCTGGGATAGTCCCCCCTAACCTTCCAAAAATTGCTGTCATCATTCTCCGATTTCCGTTTACACCTCTGCAGATCCACCAAAATGCCCCCCCCCCCCGAAAAAAGATCCACCAAAATGCCCACTCACACTCTATTTCTCACAACCGGCATGGTTAATTACTTTTTTCCTTTTTTTTTTTTTTTCCACTTCCTTACCGTCTCAAATCCTTTCATTTCTGAGTGTCGATATGGCCCAGGGCGCCAGCGCCCTGACCACTTCTGCAGCAAAAAGCCGATCTTTATCCTCCCAACTCATGTCATTAATGCTCCTATAATAGGATTGCTGCATCGTCCTCCTCTGTTACCAACTTACCACCCACGGAGAGGGCTCCCTCATCTCCAATGACCACCATTTCCAGAAGTTGAGTACCGCTGGGCAGTGCACGAAGACCTGAGGAATAGAGTCCACCTGGCCTCATCCCGGGGCTGAGCAGTGCACCTCTTTATGTCGACCGTTAGTAGCCAGCCACTGCGCAGTAGGGACAGCTAAGTGGTAAATCAACTATAATAATCCCGCCTGCTTCTGGTCAGGTAGGGCCTTCCACCCACGGAGAGGGCTCCCTCATCTCCAATGACCACCATTTCCTAAAATTCAGTACCGCCGCTGGGCAGTGCACGAAGACATGAGAAACAAAGTCCAGCTGGCTGCATCGGGGGGCTGAGCAGTGCACCTCTTTATGTCGACTCTGACTTAGGGCGTCGTTAGAAGCTCCTTACGAGTTCCTTGAGCCACATCCGGCGTCGTTCCACTCATCCTGGGGGACCTCCCCCGAGGATGTTTCCTTGTGGCGTGCCCGCGACCGTTTTCATACGGAAATTAGTGGTCGTGGGGTCGGTCGCCCTTGGTCCACCGTCTTTTGTCCGTGTGGAGGCGTCGTGGTCCACTGACATGTGGCGGGAAACGGCATGAGGCCGGCGACGGGAAAAAAAATTAACCCGGGGGGCGTCGACGTTTGAAATTCGAATTCCGAATGACGGCTGCGACGACGACGACGACGTGCGGCTGGCGGTGCGAAGATGGCATACTGCTGAAGCGGGCTCAGCGGCGGTGTCACTTCCGTCCCCTGGCCGTTGCGAGTGCGCAGGCATCGTCGGGTGCGTCCATCGCCGTCGACCTTCGCACACGTCGACGACGCATTGAAACACAATTCCATCTGCGGGACTGCATCCAGAGAAAAGGGGCCAGCTTTCGACAGGCGTCTTTGGCTTCTTCGTTGGGTGTGGAAGGACGACACACACAGCAGTGGAGCGACGGGTCCGTGTCCAGGCCGCGGCTATGGAGGGCGGCGGAGAGGGTGGTTATGCGGTGTTGACGCCTCTTGAGCTGCAGGCCGTGGCGGCGGCCGTGTCTACCGTTGTTCTTCGATGTCGGCAGGAGAGGGCGCTGAGACGACTGAAGGAGCAGTTGCTCGCGCGTAGATGGAGGACATTGATGCAAGCTCCAGACAATGGCCCCGACTACGTGGCGACCTTGGAGGCTGTTGTTCAGCTGTGCTACATGTTGGGTTGCAGAGTGATTCCTCAAGCGACGCAGAGGAATCTCATGCGAAGGCAGGTGAGCATACAACGTCGGGTCGTGCGCTTGCTTGCCCATAGACCCCGCAGTGCGTTGGCGATTGCTCGCTCCTGCTGTCGTGCCTGCCGGTCTGCCGTTGGTCAGTCGTCGATCCATCCTGTCGCCGTTCTTGGAAGATCTCCTTTTGCGAGCCGCGACAGGGAGCAGGCCGACCAAACACACGTGGAAGAAGACAACGATGAGAAGCAGCACGAGGACGAGGAGTAGCAGAGGCAGCCTGTGCAGCAGGTCGGCCATGTAAGGGCCGTGGAAAGGGAAGCAGCTCCACGTCAGTGGTCAACTGTCCAACGAAGAGCTCTGCCGATAGAAGAAAAAGCGAGGGAAGATCTGTGCTCCGACGTGCAAGGCATGACGACAACCGACGAAAACAACGATCTTCCAAAATCCGCCTGTCATCAACGAAAAGCATTCGAATTTCCGACCGTTGTCGACGATCTCCCACCGGGGCAGACCGCATGACACCGGCCGGCAACGGCTGATTCGTCGGACGGGGGCCTCACGCGGACGGTGACCGTTTGGAGCCGTTGGGGTGCTGCCTAGACGGTGGAGGGCAGGGATGTCCATGCTCCCGCTCTGTGGACCACGTCTGGACCACCCTCAAACCGAAATTGTGCGTCGACGCATGCCTTCGCCGCTCCGAATTCCGGGCTTCCTTGTGCTCCGAGGGACCTCGGGAGGTCCCTTGGGGATTAGGAAAAATTGGCTGTAGCCACAAGGACGCCACAAGGGAATTTCCTTGTGCTGTTTTCACATTTTTTTTTGCGAATCGTCCCCGAGGACAGGTGGAACGAGCACTTCCTTGTGGATTTCGGGTCGACAAGGAGTGTCTAACGAGGCCCTTAGTAGCCAGCCACTGCACAGTAGGGACAGCTAAGTGGTAAATCAACCATAATAATCCCGCCTGCTTCTGGTCAGGTAGGGCCTTCAAAATCACACATTCCTTCCTCCACTTGTGGTACGTACACCTGGGTACCAATGAAGGATGGACCCAGTCCCTTGTAACCCATCTATCTCGAAGTTCTTCAGCGATGTCCACCTTTGGGAGTACGAAGCGGTAAATCACCGTTGTGGTAATGTGCTGCAGCGGGATGCATTTCTTGTTGTAGCTCTTGGGGGGGAGGTACTAATCCTGTGGGTCTAGTACCAAGTCTCTTCTAACTTTGCTGACACTGAAAGGAAGATAGTCCTCATCACCCTTTTTGCCCCCATTACAGACTGACACTGTCTCCACAGTCGCTGGTTCAATCTGACACGTGCGAGGCAGCCCATCCTGCCCGGCACCCACCAGCAGGAGCCGCAGCCTTTCATACCCCGGTCTCACCACCCATTCTGTGGCTTACTATTTTTCTATAAACATGCCGTGGTAGAGTCTCCCCTTTCCTCCTTACACAATCCCCCTCCTGCAAGCCACCCTTCTTCAAC